TACTTATACTACGCATGTTTGATGTTTCTTTTCTTTTCTCTTTTCACTGAGTTTATTGGTACTTTTTAAGTATACAGTACAGTTACAGTCATCATTGGGATCTTGTACCTTTACATGACAGGTCTTGGTTTTCATTTTTTCCCCATATCCCTGCCTTGATGTTTATTGATATTCAAATTTAAATGAGCACCCTGTATTTATTTGCTAAATCTGGCCTCCCTGGATGTAGGGTTAGTTACATAATCTCTTTGTCTTAGTTTCTTTCTCCCTAACATGGAACAAAAAATACCTTGCCAGGATGCTGAGGCCTGGATGACATAACTGATTCATACAGCACACGTCAATTGGCTGGAGGTATAGAGCATGATGATTGACTGTACAATTAACAGGATAGCTCAGAATCTCTGCTTGTGAAGTTTATATGTCACTGTGGGGGGGCATACATTAAAAAAGCATAAATAATTGTACCAAATGGTGATGTGTACTTTGGAGAAAAAATAGCCAAGAAGTAATTGGGATTGATGGTGGGGATTTGGGTTTTTAGGTAGATTGGTCAGGGAATGTTTTTCAGAGAATGAGCTATTTGACTAAAGTCATGAAGAAAGGAAGGAGGGAAGTGAAAAGGGAAGGGATGGAGGGAGAAGGAGAGGAAGGAAGTTAAGTCGTGAAAACAGATGGATGCACATCATTTCAAGTGCAGAGACCAGTAGGGGTAACAGCCCTGTGGAGGTACCTGGCCTGTCAAAGGAACTTCAGGAAAGTCAGTCTGTCTGGAGAGGAGTGAGTCAGGGGTGTGGAGAAGAAGTAAGTATATGGGTGTAAAATTCCTGGCCTGTGCTTTTAGTTTTTGTGCTATAGGCTATATGGATCCAGATGAATGCTAGTTGATGAACAGAGTCCTCTGGAAGGGTCTTGAGTCTTCCAGACCTACTTTTAGGGCCTCCATTTCTTCAACCACAAAGCAGGGATGAAAATAGCAGCACAATTTCCATTATAAAGTTAAACATAGAGGTAAGACTCCTGAGAGGTTTTGTGAAGCACACCTGTGTATGTTATGTTCTTATTTAGAATTGCATGAATCTTGTTAACTCTACTTTCCTCTCAAACTGGAAGGAGGCATAACATAGTCATTTCTGTTATTGAATGTACTTTCTTGCCCTTAGCCAGTTAGTGCTGAGCTCTCAATTGAGAAACCCAAGGTTATGGGTTCTTGTCACTGTGATGGCCGATTTGCTTCTCTGTTCCAAACTGTAAGACAGACTGAGGCCCACTGCTCTCCGAAAGGTCAGCTCTGATGATGTTAGCTCATATATCATGAGGAAGATGTGCTGTGAGCTTTGGAGGCAAGACTAGGTGCATAGAGGCAAGGCCGGGTGTCAGCAGGAAGAGGCCTGACCGAGGCTGGGTAGAATACAAGGTTAGCACTGATTACTCAAGGGCAGGGATTAGAGTTTTTGGTCAAGTCTCAGATGAGCAGTTTAGTGTCAAAGCCAGTAAGGTAGTCTCTGACAGAGATCCCAGGAGCTGAAGTAAGGAGAGGGGGTGAAGATGAGGGGACCAAACTCCTGGATCCAAGATACAGGGCACTGTGTCCTAATGATAAATGTAATGGAGTAAAAGCCATTTTTCTGTTTATCTCTGAAAACTCCTTCTCTCAGAATCCCCTGGAGATTGTGTGGAAGAGCCAATTGCTGGGCCCCACTGACTCAGACACAGTGGAGTAGGCTTCAAAAATGACCTTGGTGACCCTGATGTGGAGCATCTGCCATCTAATCTGAGACCCGTAGGAAGAGGCATGAAAAACCAGACGACAGTTTTTAACTAAACCAGAAATCTTGCTGTAGTTCGTGTTTTCATGCCAGTTATCTCCTTATTGTCTCTACACAGTTATTTAACTTTTTGTGAATATTAATCTTGATTCCTCTAGCTAAACTAAAATGAGCTGATGATCAGGGACTGTGTCTTTTACTTCTTTGTGTCCTGGGTAATATTGAACTTCATGCTGTGCATGTGGGATTTCAATAGCTAACTTCTGATTTCAAGGATTAATTACACAGCCATTCTTGCTTCCTTCCACCTTACCTGTGATCAACAATTTTGCAAATGTGCTGATGGTCTTAGAGAGCCACTGTGATATGATGTGGATGCATCTGCATAAAAACTTTTCTCATCATTTGTCAAATGCCTTATTGCAATGGTTTTCATCTTGGCCGCATAATAGCGTGTTAAAAATTTCTGATGCCCAAACCACATCCAAGACCAACCAATTAAGAATCTCTGAGGGTAAGACTCAGGAATTACTGGAAAGGGAAGAGGAATATTACCAAAACCTAGGAGGCTGGAGGAGGAGGATATGCAGGCCAAGCAGTTAATTCTTAAAAGGGAGTTTTGAGGTGCCCAGATCTCCAGCGGTGGCATGGCTGGTTGGTGCTCTGAGCTTTAGAAAGACATAGCTGACCATGCAGGTGGGAAGTCTTGGTTGGCACCCTGGCAGCCAAAAAGGCAAGGCCAGTTGGTATACAAATTATGAGGGGCAAGGTAGGTCACCTTCATGACTGCTACTAGTACTGATGAAGTGTGTGGCCAGGCTGATGCCATGAAAGCCAAAAGAATTGGAAATTGGAACCATAGATTTCCTTTGCTGCTGGTGCTGGAGATGGAAACAAGAGCGCTAAGTCTCTTCTCTCTACTCTTTTCTTGTAATTATAGGTAGAAGAAATTGGAAGGCTACTTTGTAATGTGGTCTTGAAATGTAGTGCCAATTTTTTTGTACATCGTAAAGGGATGGGAGAATGGATACAGTGATGATAAGCCATAGGCAATGTCTTAGTCACTTTCCTTGTCACTGGAACAAATATTTGATATCTGAAACTTAAAGGAGGAGAATTTATTTTGGCTCATGGTCACAGTCAGTGATCTGCTAGCTCCAGCAGAAAAAATCATGGTGGAAGGTTCTGGGTGGAGGAAACATTGCTCACATCATGGCAGTCAGTAAGCAGAGAGGGAAGGGAGACATCGGGGAGGGAGATGTAGCTTTCCAAATCATGACTCCAGTTGACTCCCTCTCTAACCAGCCTCACCTCCTAACAGCACACTTTGCTCTGAACTCATCTGTGAATGGATCTATGGGTGAGTACAATGCTCCCATGATCCAACCACTTTCTAAAAGCCTAACCTTGAACATCGCTAATTAAACCATAACAGTCAATAACCAGCCTGACCAGCTGGTAAATGATAAAACTGAGGTTGAAACTCAGACAGGCTTGCTTCAGGGTCCACACCAGTGTTTATACTTTGCTGGAGCTTGTGGCTATGACTTGAGTGTTTATGTCCCCTCCACAGTTTATGCTGAAACTTACTATCCATTGTGATGGTATTAGGAGCCAAGGCTTTTTTGGGAAGTGATCGTCAGGAGGGCTCTGCTGTCATGAAAGGATCAGTGCTTTATAAAGGGGCTCAGGGGTCACCCTCCTTGCTTCTGTATCTTCTGCTAGGGGAGTGTACAGTGTGCTTCTACTGCTTCTGGTCTATTGGGGAGTAAACAACAATGCACCATCTTGGAAGAAGAAAGCAGCCCCCAAACACTACTCCTGCTGGATCCTCAGTGATCTATTATTTAAAAGTCATCCAGTCAGTGGTATTTTGTTACAGCAGCGTAGAAGAACTAAGGACTAAGACACGTATCTGCCCCGTGGGCAGGTACTCACCCAGTCCTTTTTTTTTTTTTTTTCAGGAGCTAAGAGAGACAGAGGGAAAATAGCATCTGTTCCTGGCTTGGGCACTCACTGCTATCTGGGTGGGATAAAACATGGGAGAGAGGTAGCATAATGATACTGGCAGTGATATTGAAGAGATATCAACATGCTTATAGGTTCTCAAATTGGAAATACAGATAACGGATGAGCTTAGAGGCTTTAAGGCTGTTGTTTGCAGGGGGATCTCTTTTGTATGGCCCAAAGAGACTCATGCATTGGAGAATAAATATCTTCTGGGAGTTAGTGGAAGATACAGTTGCATATTTTAAAGACAACATCAAGGCAGTGGGGCATGGTAGGGAGTATAGGGACGGATTCATTTGTGGAGCTAATGGAGACCCCTAACTGCATCCCTGAGGCACTTGAATATAGGCACCAGAGATAGATTGGGCACTCAGTGGGAAGCTGTTCTCCAAAGGGAAAAATACTTTTAACCAATAAATAAGATAGCCAACTTCCACAGTAGCTCTGAAAGGAGCAGAAGAAGGAGAAGAGGAAGAGGAAGAAGAGGGGGCAGGAGAGGGAGAGGGAGGAGGAAAAGGAAGCAGCGGCAGCACAGGGAAGAAGGAAGTGTAGGAAAAAGAGAGCAGATAATATTGTCTGCAGATGATCAGAGCTATGGTGCTAGTGCCCTAATCCAGAGGGATAATTCTGAGTTGAACAGAAGTAAGGACTGCCTCAGTAACCCAAGCGCAACTGTTTCATAACTGCAAGTGATTTAAAGACTATGAAACCAGATCGAGGTATCATTAAAGACTTCCACCAATTGGTAGAGAATTGTTCGGCAGAGCATAATTGGTGGTAGTTACTAGAAGAATAAAATAATTCATGTTTGTACCTTGACAAGTTCAAACTTTTCAGTCCAACCAGCCATGGTTTATAACACTTATAAATCCAGGGGCCCATCTGGCTCAGTCTGGAAGCCACATCTTGTTCAAGAATCACATTTCAAAGACAAAAGTAATTAGGAATTCTGTATTTTATTTTGGAAATCTGTGATAGGATCTAAATACAGCAGTCCACAGCAGCTCTTTTCACTCATCCCCCGTCACATGTTATAGTTACTCCAGAGCCTCTCTCTTTGAATCAGTCAGAAATTCTGTTATCTTCAACACACACCGCTGCTTCCCTCCTCTTTCCATGTCCCTTTTCTCGCCTTTTTGTTACATAAGCTGCCATTAGCCTTTTTTGCCATTCTTCTTACTTCTCTTTTCTTTCCCCTGCTCTCTCATTTCTGAATCTAAGAAGTCCAAAGAAGCACTGGCGGAAGCTGACCTCTCCAAGGAGAATGCTGCTGAGATGCCGAGGCTGGACACGGGGAGGGGACAGAAGGGAGTTCGCTTTGTCAGGTAAGTGATCCAGTTGGTGCGGGAGCCAGAACAGACACACAGCCTCAAACATTGCTAATGTTTGTTTAAAAAGCTAACATTCCCTGGTACTTATGGTTTTCAAAAACGTTCTATGCACCATGCCTCCACTGAGTCTCAAAATGCTGAGAGTGTGATTTTGCCCACTACACAGGTAGGAAAAGTTGGGCCTGGGAGATTAAATGGCTTAGAACACTTTGCAGAACAGAACCTCAGATTTTGAGCTTAGAGCTCCTGACAAGGTCCTTTGTTACATTCCCTCAAGGGCCTACTTTATTCTCTCTCTGCTGTTCTTCTCGTTATGTCACTTATATATCGCTCCTCTGCTATTTTGTAACTGTTGGCAATTTCCTTCCTCATTTACAACTACATGGTTCTTATTACCAAAAAGCAACAAAGACTAAAACATTTCATTGTTTCTTCATTTTTATTTTGATATGACAGAAGATGAAGAACTTTTGAAAAGATTTTATCAAATCCATTTTCCTCAGAACAGCATTTTTATTTGGGCTGAAGGTTAACATCGTAACTCATTCACTAGTATGGCTGAGATTTAAGGAACCAGATTTTGTAGTAAATACTCAGCAAGAAAAATATCCAAAGACTAGGGCTACTGTCATTGTCCAGAATGTTCTGAATGCTTCTTTTGGAATGTTTCCTATCCATTTAACTTTCTTTACTTACATCCTTTTGGACAAAGACAGGGAATCTTAGTTTAGACCATCTTCTTGTTCACTGGAATTTTTTTCTATTTCCGGAATGAAATTTATTCCTAGAGGACAAATATTTGAAGTCATCAGTGACAAAAATGTATCTATCTACCTATGTAAAACACACAAGAGACTCTGGGAGTGACTAAATGTGGAGATTTAGGAATATTATTTTGTAGTCATGTGATATTCAGCATGACTAAAACCCAAGCTGAAGGATGATCTGTGAAATAGAACAAGTAACTAACGAATGACTGTTAAATGGGTGAGAGTCAGGGTGGAGGGCAGCTGCTGTAAACTCTAGGAACCCCTGTCTTCATCAAGTGAGGTAAAGTGGCTGTAGTATTGGAAGGTGATGGTTACAGTTGTGACTAGAACCTGGGAATGAAGAATGCAGAAGCTGGGGACAGAACCCATCAGGGGATCTGAGAGAATCTGATGGGATTGGCTAACCCTTGTTCACTGTAGTCAGTGGGGCGGGTGACAAAACAGATGACCATTTTCACTAAGAAGACTTTACCTTAGCATGCATGTCTGAAAAGAAATATTTATGCTTTTGGTTTTAGTTGAAGGACAGTTGAATGGATAAGAGGTTGATATTCCTGAATTCTGTTTGGCAATGTCATTTTATAGGCTTGTAAAGGTTCTGAAGACATTATTATTTAAACTGCTTGCCACAGAGTAAAATAGAATTGCCTATTTTTCCTTCTATGTATAGACTTCTAACTCTTTGATTTTTCTGAATCCTCCAAATAAAGAGCACTCCATTTGTTCTTTTAATTCATGTGTGTTTTGTGAGACCACCCTCTCCTCAGATTGTTGCTTTAATTTGGTTGGTGGACTCATCCCTGGGTTTGACAGACTATACTCAGTCCCCTCTTTATTGTGAAGTCAAGGCAGATCCTTCCTTTCAATCTGTTTTCTTTGAGGAAGAATGAGATAACATGAACCAGGGAGTAGAGAAGAGGGTGCGTTTCTGATGTGACCACATCCTTTCTATGGGCAGTGTTAGGTCTGGCACGGCACCAGAGAAGAGGAGACCTTAAAGTCAAGGAGGCCCTTGGGAAACTAAGATCCACTGATGAACTTCTTTCTAGTTTTGTTAAATATAAACAAAATATTTTATTATTTGTCAGACCTGCTTAGAAATCATCCAATTTTATATTGTGATAGATTATGTGTTAATTAACAGTATATATAATTGTACATAAGGCATAATATTATGCCTTAATGTATTAGTTTCCTGTGTCTTCTGTAACAAATTAACACAAACTTGGTGGCTTAAAGCAAAATAATTTATTCATTCATAGTACTGAAGGCCAGAAGTTAAAAGTCTGGTGGTGTGGTGTCTCTCCAGTCTCTAGAGAAGGGTAGTTTCTCAAGATTCTTATAACTTAAAGAATGAGAAAGTAGATTCATTCATAGGTACATGGGTACATTTTGAGGATATACTCCTAAGTGAAATAAGGCACACATATGCAAATACCGAATAGTATCTCTGGTGTGAAAAACTAAAATAGTACTCAAGATCCTAATGGGACACTTAGCAAATAGGAAGAAAAGGACCAAAGGTGTAGGGACAGTGAGAAGGACAGGGAAGGGGGAATAAAGGAAAAGGAAAAAAATATGAGAAAATGTAAAAAATGGAGTTAAAGTGTTTGAAGGGGGGGGAGGGGAGGGAAGGGTGAAGGGAGGGTGGGGACAAGGGGAAAATATGAGAACCAAGACCTGGCATGTAAAGGTATAAGATCCCAGTAATGAATGTAACAGTACTGTCTACCTAGAATGTACCAATAAATTAAATTTTTTAAAAAAAGATACTTATAACTTCCAGCTACTCCAAGTGTTCCTTGACTCTGACTACATAATTCTAATCTCTGCCTCTATCCTTATTTGGCTTTCTCCTCTTCCTCCTTTGTCTCCTCTCCACATCTCATAAAGACATTTATTATTGGAGTTAGGGACCACCCAGATGATCCAGGATAATCTCAACGTCCTTACGTGAATTTGTAAAGAATCTTTTTACAGTTAATTCACAGTCACAGGTTCTGGAGATTAGGATGAAGCTACATCACAGGACAGAGTGCACATGTGACCAACTATAATGGGTTTGCTGATTTTCTTATGTACTTTAAAATGACTGATATTTGGCAACTAAAATTTGTTGTACTTATGAGCTAATGCTTACTGAGCACTTCCTCAGTATCATACACTTCTCAAAGTTCTTGAGCTTATTGTTTTACAAAAATTTATGAGGTAGTTCCTATTCCCAACTTCATAGCACAAGCGAGATGCCTAAGTGAAATAAATAAGTCACACATGTGTAAATACCAAATAGTTTCTCTGGTGTGAAAAACTATCATAGTACATAAGATCCTAATGAGATAATTGACAATGTGAAATAGGAAGAAAAGGGCTAAAGATGTAGGGAAAGTGGGAAGGGTAGGGGAAAGTTAATAAGGGAAAATAAAAAAATATGAGAAAGTGAAAAAATGGAAATGAAGTGTTTGTAAACGGGGAGGGGAGAAAAGGGTAAGGGGAGGGCAGGGACAAGGGGAAAAAATGAAAACCAAGACCTGTCATGTTAAAGGTACAAGATCCCAATGATGAATGTAACTGTACTGTACGGTATACCTAAAATGTACCAATAAACTCAATGAGGAAAAAAAAAAAGTTGAGGTTTGGGGAGGTTAATTGGTTTGTCCAAGGTCACAGAGCTTGTGTGATGGCAAAGCATGGGAACCAAATTAAGTGCATTTATTTTTAGTCTAGGCCACTGACAATTATGATGTGAAAGAAACAGTATCTTAAAAACTTCAATTTAAAACCAAATACTTTTTTAAAATTTCTGGTAAGCAAGTAATGTTAACATAGACACATTTCTTAATATAGTGATACTACAGTTGTTGAACTCAGTTTATTCCAAATTTGTGTTAAAACCCTGAAAAGTTTAAGAACTGAACATATTTTTCCCATAAGAAATAATAAAAAATCAAATAATTGGTTCCAAGCCCCCAAAATTACACTTAAAAATTCATGTTTTTCAGGACTTTAGCAAATTTCACAATGATTTCTTTCTTTAACTCTATTGTGGTTCCCACAGTTGTCCTTTTTGCTGGTATCACTAAATATCTTTGGAGCCATGGTTACAATATTTTATGCAAAGAAAGTGAAAAAAAGAAAGCACAGTGACAAATGTTTGAATCACTATCATGAGCACTGTAGGTTGTCTGGGTGAGAGCAGTATGCTTGGACCAAAGTGTTACCCTTCGTGTCTGCAGTGAAATACGATGTTCTCACTTCAGGTTTTTTAATCTCAGATTTCCAATTTGACTACTGAGCAAAGTTAAGAACACTGAGCAGAGTTTTTTCAAACTTTGCTGTTTGAGTAGTAGAAAATTCAAGCTTGGAATCATTCAACAACTGAGGTATCACTGGATCCAAAATCCAGAGCATATAGCAGAGCATGGTAAATAAATTTAACCAAGAATAAAACAAATATGTCTGTAGGAAATAATCAGCCATGGGCTCTAAATAGTTCTAAAATTTGGAGAAAAGCAAAAAAGCTAAGTTTTCCAAGCAGCACTGAATTCTCAAAATTTTCCTCAATGTAAGTAGCTTTGAGACTTTGTGTAGTAGTTACACAAAATACAACACAACTACAAAGGAGTATTCTTTTGAAGTCCGAAATACTCATTTCTGATTTTTGGGGATTTACAACTATACAAGGGGTTTGAATTCAATTTGGCATGTGGATTTCCCATAAATAAGAAAAAAAAATGCCCTTTGCAGCCTATAATAGCGGAAATTGCAGTGAATTGTGATTCTAGGCAAGAGTTTCTGGTCTTCCTTGAGTCATAGACTAACTGGCATGAATTTTTTGGAAGGTTGTTTTGTTTCTCTGAGCTTCAGTTTCCTTATTTAAAATGAGCTAGAGCCATTCTGACTTTTCTTTGTTCTTTGATGAGTTGGTAACTGTTATGAACCTTCTCAGAAAAAATGTCTGTGTACAATTTTATATATAATAAAATTTACACGCTTCCTGCTGCGTATGCATGAATCCTCTAGTTTTGTGGACCCAGTTTAGGAATCTTGGACTAGACCATCTCTAAAGTCCTATTCAGTTCCAATATGCTAGGATTCCATTAATATTTGCATTACTCTAATATTAGAGAGAGAACTATATGTAACTTGTGAAAGGAATCAAGGAAGTTTGTGCGCAAAATAACATAAAATCACTTGTTTTACTACAGAGAAAAAAACTATACATTT